CTTCTCTTAAATGCTGAAGGTGAATAAAAATTTCATTATTAATTAATTAAATTACTATCCATTAATTAATACTAACAATGCTTTTTGTTTACATTTAATTCTAATAATTAAAAGAAGGAATCGATGAATGACTAATTTAATCTCCACTATAAATTATTTGTTATAATTATTTGATTATTTTATTTCTTAAAGCTAAATTATTTTGAAATAATAAACTTTTTGATTCTTGTTAAATGGTGGTATCATTTCGGCCAATCAACAATTATGGCTTAACTTTTGGATACTCTTGTCAGTTAATTGCATATAATTCGGTGCTTGTCAGTTAATTAGTTTACAAATTTACATTGATTCCCTCTTTCCTGCACTGTGGGCACACCTAATGATACCAGATAACTGTAAATAAATAAATATGGCCTTTTACAAAACTCGAGAGCTTCTATAAAGTTCCTTTTATTCACTTGTGATCGATTTATTCGTTTACATTTATTGACTCTCTTTGGTTTAGTTGAAAAACAACTCAAGTAGCTTGTTTAACTGCCTTACGTTTAGTATTTCCGATTAACCTTTGAACGGTACTTTGTTAATACTCACTAATTAACCAACGTTAATCCTAACCTTGCTTGCTTGTTCATTAAAGAAAATAAACGTGACTTTTTACAAAGCTCCACAATTGTTACCTTTTACCAAGACATTAACTACACTTGTTGCTTTTATCAAGGCGCTTTAAACAAAGAAAATAAAGACAATAATTTTATTTAACGATTAATTTTTATTTAATAAAAATAATGATTCTATCAGAGTTTTATTTTATTAGAATGTTAATTATCCTCTGCGAGTACCTTAATGAAATTTTCGTTGATCAATACAATAAGGATAAAGATAAAGATTATTCCAAAGTAACTTAATCAATAAATATTGATATTATTATTATTTACATGGTGATTTGATAATAATTAATACACTAAAATTAGTTAACCTGGAACATAAAATACCAATCATGTATTCAGCAAAAACAAAGGAGAGATTGGGATACACGAGAAAAATATAAAAAAAAGACCTTGGAATATATATATATTTATGAGTTTTTTTTTGTAAGTTTTTATATTTTAAAGCAATTTTACTTGCGTAATTTTTGACCCAATGGTAGCGAATAGTTTTACAACTTTGGTGACATTTCGTCAAACTACATTATTATCACTGTAGAAGTGTGGAATCTTGACTTCAAGAAATAAATGAGCGAATGCTTATGTAGATTTGTTTTCATTGTAACTGATTGGATGGTCTAATTTAAGAAATAAACCTATAGTAAATTTCATCATCACAACTCCAACACCAGTGTTTTAGAAAGTCATTGAAACTAAAGAAACTCTCAGAATCTATTGATCAGGTGATAAATAATATAGATCACTGATAATGATAGTAATGTGAAAGAAACCCATAAAATTTAACAGACCTGTGCTCAGATCAACAATTTCAGAATCATCAGAATTAATGGTTGACTTTGTATTGGCTAAACATTTTGGTGTTGGCTGATATAATTCTCCTTCTACCCGGAGATATTGATATGTTACAATATTAATATAGATCATCTCAATGCGTACAAGAATCCAATTAGATCCATTATTTAGAAATTTCTCTATCTTTCCATCAAATTTTCTTGCAAAACTAGTTACGTGGTTATCAATATTTTAGTCTATGAGAATTGACCGCATTTCACCTTGATGATATTTCTCAACATAATATGTATGTATGCACTCGTCATCCTTTGTTACCGAAAGCTGTGCGGCCTGACCCAACGGGTGAATCGGAGCCGGCACCGGGTTGCTGTTTTTTATAATTACAAAATACCGCTAATGCTGATTTTATTTTCTCTTTTCGTCATAGTTCAGCCTGAAGCACTCTTGGAACCTCTGCATATCCTTCTATGTCTGTTGAAATATTAAAAGCATATGCTCGATTTCTTGTGGAATGTACTATTGTTTGTCATTTACTCTCATCGAATTGAGACTTTGGCGTGATCTATTTATATCTCCAATTTCATATTTTTTTAAAGACTATATTCTCTCTTCTAATGGTTCGAATACACTTGGATATATTCCACCATCAGTTTTTAAGCCGAATATCCTTCTCAGTGCCTTGTCAGTCAAAAGTTCGCCTTGTGACTCTGGCCATTGCTCTTCGGGCTCAGTATCTATCCCCTTTCAGGATGTGCCTTTGACTCCAAAAAATTCAACTCATCCCCGCCTAAAAAAATTGCCAACTCTTCTCTTGGCGTATGATTTTCAAAAATAGGCTTATCTACTGATGTACGAGTACCAAAATTTTTGCTAGTTCGTAGTTTCTTTAGATGAGAAAAAGGAATTTCTGTGTAATTATTTGGGATGTGGTCTGCATAGTACCCAAAAAAGTTCTCAAGATGTTTATGGATTGTTTACTGGGACGAGTATGCCAAATAACTTGTTGTGGAGATGATAAACCTTCGGGGAAATGCCCACCATTGGCTAAAAGAGCATGCTGGTTATTATGAAGAAGTGCTAACTAATTACCATGCCAAACGCCTTCAGCTGCAAGAGCTTAAGAAAAATATGCGTTGCCAAATGACCAAGCACACTGTTTTCTCATACTATGAATTCGAAAAAAAGAATAAGCAAATCATGGTTTTTTTTTTACTCGAGTCCTTGATGAATGGGACAGATATAAAAATGAAATAGATTGGGGGTTGAAAAAAATAGTCTTTTTTTAATAATTTGATTTACACTTTTTATTTATCTTTTATATCTTTTAATGCTGGTTCGTTGTACTTTGTTATGGATTCATTTGTTCAAAGGACATGTTAATAATTACTATTAAAAGAAGCTTCTTTTTTAAATTTATTTATTTTTATTTAATAAAAAACGGATTTTCATCAGGAAATTCCTAATTCATCAAGATCTTTGACCCAGAACTCGTTTTTGAAATTGTATCGAATTCAAGTAGTAAAGTTTTTTCCATCATCGTAAGTTTTGATATATAATTGTTGTGGTAATATTTATACTGATTGTAATAATTGCTGATGTTATTGATATAAAACTATCTAATCGAATTCTTCTAATGTTGAAATTCCGGTTGCAGACAATTTCATCAGTGATTCATATCATTGATGTCGAGTCCAAATTCGAACATGTTATATATAGATTGATTGTATTCACGTGTGATGGTAGTTCCTCTAAACCAAGCCCTATTTGGGAATTCTTTGACAAGCTGACCCGAATTCACTTTGTACATTTGGGATTTGGGGGCATGTAGATTTTCTTTTTTTTTGATTCATTGGTTTCAGCAGCTTTTCTTCCTTATTATTTTGAATAGATGATTGAAATATTCCGGTATATATGATTTATGTTGTGAATGTTGTTGAAGAGGCACCATTTGTTGTTTAGTTCTTCCGGGTCCATATAAATTTCATACTCCAAGTAAATAAAAAAATCAAATTTATAAATACCTTGAACTAAATACAGCGGTTTGGTGTGTTTTGATTCCCTAATAATACTTCTCTTTCTTGTTTTTTTTTTGTGTGCGATTTTTTTATGATATACATAAAAGATTAATAATAATAATAATAAAACACGAAACACGCATATAGTAATAGTATATTAAAATTTTTGTGTTACTTTCTATTAGAAAATATTACCCCTGTAATTTCTTTGTGACATTGAAAAAAAATTTTCAATAAAATAAAATTTTTATTATTCTCGAAAGATGTCTGATAGGTAAAATAAATTACATTTAATTTTCTTATTAGATTGAAAAGAAAATAGTTTGGGATGAGCATAGGTGATAGAAGTATATTAGAATTGAAATGAGAATTGTAAATGCATGGAATTGTATTAAATATTCAAAATAATAAATACAATACATTTATATGATTTTTAATAAATTTATAGCGATAACGTAACGAAGACTATCACGCTTCAAACAGGTACTATTCATTATTCATTACTTATTACTGTTCTTTTCACTACATAAGGAATGTTAATATAACAATATCAACAACAACAAAATATTGTATCTCTTTAAAAAAAAAATGAATTGAAAAATGAATTAATTAATAATTAGTTGGATTTGATGCAAGATTTCCGAATGTAAATCAAACAAAACATTGTTGGCAAAATTATGTAGATTATTTCAAATGTGTTAACGCTCGTGGTCAAGATTTTGCACCTTGTAAACAATTCTTTAAAGCTTATCATAGTTTATGTCCTAATGAGTTTGTAAGTTTAACTTTTTTTCATTGCACTCAAATTTATATTATAATATTTATTAAATATATTATGTTTATTTTTAGATTTCAAAATGGGATAATCAAAGAGCAGAGGGTAACTTTCCTGCTAATCTTGATCCATAAGACTATATATATATTCTCCCAAAATTTTAAATTATAATTTTCTTTGTCTAAATAAATAACAAACATTAATCACAAATAAATAAATCAATAAATAATTTTTAGTTAGTTTGATGGATTAATTGATAATTTGATAATTTATTAATCACTCGCATATTATTCATTTATAGTCAATATCATTACAATTGTAATTTAATTTTTTGATTAAGTTTTACTTTTTATTTCCAAATTATTAAATTGAATAAACTCACAAAATATATATATAATAAAAATAATAGATATACAAAAGAATAATATATAATAATATGTTAAATATACTATTACTACTAATGCTCTTATAAAAAGGATGAATAAAATAATCAAGATTGAATTTATTGATCCCAATGTGCCTGCCAAATCGGTGTTGTTGTAAATGTAAGTTGTTGTTGCTGATTATTTTGATAATGATGATGTGGTGGTGGTAAAAGCTCATCATTACTATTAGCATCATCAAATATTATTGAATTTTGATTTTGATTTTGATTATGATGGTGATGATGATGATGTTGTTGTTGTTGTTGTTGTTGTTGTTGTTGTTGTTGTTGTTGTTGTTGTTGTTGTTGTTGTTGTTGTTGTTGTTG